CAGAGACAGAGGTTGGTAATCTTCATGCTCAGTGTCCTTTGCTCTTCCTCCTCTGTCATGTGTGGTGCTGGTCCCTAAGGACCCTGCCACAGTAGCTCCACAGCATGGTATTGAGGCCTATGAGATCTTCCTGAGAGAACAGGCAAAGAATCACAAATGGTAATATTTTTTTTAATTTAGCCATACCTGATGCATAGGTATTTGCAAAATAATTTACAAACCTCTCAGCGCGAGTCTCTCTCTCCTTCTCCTCACCCTCTTGCTGGAGACTGGACGTGTGTATTTTATTTGCATCTCTAGGTTTAGAATTAGTGTATTCATCTGCAGAAATACCATCAGGATGAGGAAGAAGGTGGAGGAAGAGAAATAAGAAAAAAACATTGTTATTAGGAACATAAGAACTTCCATACCTGTGAGATTAACCCTCCATCTGATCCAACTGAAGATACGATCTGTTATTTGACCATGAAAGTAACTTTTTGGTCTCACATAGCACTGATGCTGAAGAGAACACCAGATAGATAGATTTGAAGAAGCACTCTGAAAAAAAATAACCACCAGCCCCAAAAATCTCAAGTGAGATTGCTGCACCTGGCAAGGCAGGGTAGCCTGGACCACAAGGACTGTTGTGCCATGTTAGAGCAACTGGTTTACCTGTATATTGTCCTGAATCTGATTCCTAGCTGTGAGGGAGAAGAGGGAAGGGGAGAGGTTAAACACATTGACACAACCTGTGGTTTGAGAAGTCACCAAGCTGCAGGTTGCTGGAAGCTGGAAGATTATGCTGAGGCTTCCATCACAGGGTTTTCCTGCATTATAGTCATTACTAAGGGTAGACTACAGACAAGGGGCAGTCACGGGATATTGAGACAGACAGGCATTGGCCTGTGGGCTATTCTGTTCTTATGACTAAAACTGTTATTTTAATAAGAACACATGTTAAGTCCTGGGCTTTGCTTAACTGAGTTAATGCTTAAAATTTACAAAGGAATAACAGGCCAGCTATTCTGAAAGTCAATAAAACAAGAATAGTTTTGGAAAAGCTTTGCTGTCTTGGTGCTTACACAGACAGGACTGATTTACATGGGCTTTTACCAAATAATTACATTTGATGTAACTTTAGGTTCTGTTTTCACAATGTAGGTAAATAACATGGTTAATGTCACTTGGCTTTTAAGATAATAAAGGTAAGTGAATCAAGTGTTACTTTTCCTCTTCTGTCACAATGGTACCACAGCCCTTACTGGATAGTTATATCTCCTTTGCTCTTAGTGTTTTCTGACTGCAAAATGTTAGGGTAAGCAACCAAGCACTTCCTAACGTAACTAAAAAAAAAAAAAAAAAGGGCAACTTGAGAATTCTGTTAGTGCTGGCCTATAAAGACACTGGTAAATCTAATAGTCTTTGGAAAAGCAGACACACAGTGCCCAAAGCAGCTTCTGCAGCAGCTGCCAGAATTTCCTCAACACCTCAGGTGCAATAAAAAGTAACGCTTGGGAACTGTCCTGTCTTCTGGAAATTTAAAGTAGATTTTTTAATTTCAGTGTCTTTGAATTTTTAAAAGAGACTATTTAAACCTCTTTAAAATCCTGTGTTTTATAGTAGCAGAATACTTACTTTTACTGCATATAAACATCATATACATCCTGATTTGTAACTATGACTTCAGATTTTGTAGTTCCGTTTTCAGGCACAAATGACAATAGCCACAAGTCTAACAACATAATTGTGCCCGTAAATCAGTCATTTAACTGCATTTATGGAGATAAAAGAAAGAAGAATAAACTTATTCACACTTATTTCGTATACATGGGAAGAGGATAACCTTTATATGGCTGAAGTTACAACTGTGCAAACACTGTTTACCTCAAATATATATGACATTTTCTCATCTGTCCTCTAGGTTATTTTTTAATAAATCTGTTCCGATTTGTCTCTAGTTCTAACTTTGACCATGCAAAACAAGATTTATTACCAGATTTCTGTGGATCCACGAAAAAGTCTTGGTATGAATTCATGTTTCATAGTTCCATTCCTTGTAAGTTGTGAAAATAGTCTTTAAAGAAATTAAATACTTATCTAGTTTTTCTGACTGCTTAAATTTAAAAGAGGGCTTCACTTCTGTTTCCTTAAAGTGATCCATATATATATATTTGTTTTGTCATCTGTCCTACTTACTCTGACTCCCAGCACAATTCACCTGCCTTGTGCTTTTAGCCTCTGCTTTCAAATTGATCGCACATTCACTAACCATGAAATCTTAGCAGTGTTACTTGGGAAACGCAACCTTTGAGAGGGAGGGGGAAGCCCACAAAAGAGATTTCAGCAGAGCAGTATCAGAAGGGTCACTCCTAGGAGGGTTGCACCCCTCTGGGTTTGACATACATCTGCTCACACTGTAAGGTTCAAATGTCTAAAGAGTCTCAGACTAGTCAGAGAGCTGTTCAGGCTAACCAGAAAAAAATGGACCCACTTAGATCTCTCTCCCCACCCCAGCTGCTTGGATTTAGTAACATTTTTCCCTAGGAAAAAATACTCAACCCTGAACTCCTTTCTAGAGGAAGGTGCCTATCTCTTCCCCCCCCCCCCCAAAAAAAAAAAGTCTGTGTCAAGCTCAGAGAGCAGAGAACATGATGGCATCTTTCCTTTATTTAGTATTTCAGTGAGCATATGGTGGAAGACCTGTTTTTAAAGCTTATCTCTGCTTTATTCCCAAGCAAGGAATGAATTGTTTGGGAAGGGAAGCAAGAAAAGAAGGAATAACCACGCTTTCCAGACCATGACATCATGGACTGGTTTTCAAAGGGTAGGGAGCCAGGGCACTACTCTTGCACCAATAACTATTTGTGTGTTTATTATTAAAACTTACTTTAGCTATCTGCTTTACCAAGTTCATTTTCCATATCTGAAAATATCTGTTTTCTTAAGAATATCTGTAATATCTATAAAGTCAATAAAAGTATCTGTAATATCTGTAATAACAACATAATATCTGTTTTCTTGCATAGGTGGCAGCAAGCCTATTCAAAGATAACAACCTTTATACCTGAGGTCTTAAGCTTGCTAATTCAATTTAGGATGGAAATATGCCAATTGTCCTTGTCATGTTAATGACAGACAGATTTATCAGGCTGAGCTAAAAGAGCTGTAGGCTCCCCATTGCGGACAGACCTGTTTTCTGGGATCACATGCCAGGAAAACAGCTGCATCACTGCAGATCATCATTCTCAGTCTGTAGAGTGTCTTGCATCCGGCACTGCAATATCTACGTTGTCAGCTTTTCCTTCTTCATCCATACATGCGCTGTCCCATGGAGAGGTATGGTCAGGCATATGTGCACTGACAGCCATAGGAAAGAGTCGGTCTGGGGGGCAATTCTGTCCAGCCTTTTTTTTTTTTTTTATCCTCACACTGCAACAGGAACATGCAGCGATGCTGACCCACACCTGTTTCCCCCCAGGCTGGCAAACAGCTTGCTTCTGGGAGACTGCACTATGTCATGTCCACATGTCTTGGCATGCACGTGGCCAGGCACAGACAGCCAAGAACCCAGACCGTGGCTGGCAGAATGGCAAAGACGACAAGAGTTTTCTACAGCTGAAAATGTTGGACTACCCTGTTAGGCATTATTAATACTTAGCTGAGTAGCAAACTCAGGTTAGTAAACTGCAAATTCTCACAGCTCATCATGGAAACTATTCTGGCAGGATTGAAGCTGGCATGCCACTTGCAGGAGGCTGCCACCATCCATCGATGGTTCTACCCCTGCCCTCCCCATATCTTTCCCAAACCTTGGTTGAACGTTTCCTGTGGCAACTTCTGTGTCAACACTAGCTATTATGTGGCATGTGGCCATGGAACAAATCAGATCAGATCACTGATACAGCTAAAATCTCAGTCTTCAGGGGGGTAGGGGTGATAAGCAGAACAACTAGGGTTCAGC